TTTGTTGAATTTGTATAGATAAACAGTTTTATTTTGTAGGTCTAATATTTTCAGGACTCATGTTGTGGCACTTAAGAAATGAACAACATACACGGTTTTTTCAGTATGTTTATATGAATTTGAGAACCAAAATATTATCTGTAGCTACTTCTGTGTTTTTATGTTTCCATGTTCTTGGATATAATTTGCATTTCTTCTCAAATCATTACTGAATTGAGTTTTTCTTGATATGAGAATTCTGTCAACTGTTTGTATATATGCTTTGAGCTTCTCCTTAAGAATGGGTTCTTGTATTTGCAACCAAGTTGGTATTTGATCTTTTCTCCCACTTCTGTCCCAGTTTGGGAGGGGGGCTAGACAGGATAGAGGTGGAGACCCAGACGAGTCCTGTATGGTGGGCAGAAGCCCACCGATTCAGGTTTGATAAGTGTATTAAAACCCAAAAATTTTTCTGCAAGCATATTTGCTGGAGCGTTGAATTTTATGAATGGGAGCGGATCTAAATGCCATCTTAAAACATTCTGTGGACAGTGCTGACATTCCTTTCTTCTATCTGGTGTAAAAGGGAAGCTGCAAACAATGGCAACCACGCCTTTGTCCTCCTGCTTTCCCATTCCTTGTCTGCATAATACAGAGCTAAAATCATTGTCAGTTCTGGCTTTAGCTTTTCTTGTCAAAATTGTCCTCTTTTTGCCATCTGTTCCGCAGTCTTACTGCTGCCTTAAAGCTGCACTTTTTGATCCTCATGATCACTTGGAAAGTCATGAACATATTGTAGCAAAGTCAATTTCTTTAGTTTTAGCTAAAAGTAAAAAAAAAAAAATCAAATTCTGGAAGTGAAAACAGAGCTTTTTCATTTGTTGGAATAAAGACTGTTTTTTAATGTGGTTTCTTAAAGAAGGGAGGCTTAGGGGATTGAGCTGTTTGTCCATCTGCTTTTCAGTTCATCCTTAATAACTTTTGAACAATTTAATCCAGATTTGATGGGGAATAAAAGTCTCAAAGGTAGTTGATTTCCTACAAGAAAACCAGAGGCTGGATGGAGGAGAGAGACAGAAATAGGTGTCCCCACTGTCTGCAGCTTAACAGTAATCTGTGCTTAGGCTTTTGCTCGCCAAGTTGCAAGTGTGTGCTGGCTGCCTAGGTGCTGCAGGAATCTCGGAGTTTCCAGACTGTGTTACTGGGTCTCACTTAGGCAGAAGCTGAGGGGCCACAAAAGGGAGACAAAGGCATAGGGAATGTTGCTGGGGAACTGGAAATTTAGGGAAAGGATGAAATCAATGGAAATTGGGGCTGTTGGAGCTATCAGTGCTTTTATGATTGATGGACCAACTTGCTTTGGGATTCCATACAGTCCTGCAGTTTGTTGATCTCTGACTTCTCAGGGTTTTGTCTGTCAAGGGTGCATCTTTTGGTGGAATAACCAAAATATAAGAAGGTTTTGTCTGTCAAGGGTGCATCTTTTGGTGTTTGGCTGTGGAATAACCAAAATATAAGACAAGATTTGCATTGTGCTCAGAAAAAGTCAGCACTCTGAAGTGGAGCCGCGCTGTTACTTTGGCAAATACTCAGAAAAAGTCAGCACTCTGAAGTGGAGCCACGCAGTTAGTTTGGCAAATGTTTTGTTCACTCAAAATGCTGTCTTAAGCTAGACAGAACAAGCTGTGAATTTAGATGGAATTAAGTCAATTGTTTCCACTGGAAAAAAAAAATGGAGAAGAATGCTGGAAAATACATTCCTATAATATTTTATTTTTCCAGGCTCAAGTCATTAGTTGAATGAGCACTTTTTAAAAAAATCAGGATGGAAACTGTGGGAAGAGTGACTCCTATATAATGGAGGTGTATTGGCATGGAATTTAGGAGTCCTGCATTTGCAACCCTTTCTGTAGGAACTTGAATTTTCACAACCAAATTATGCGTGTGTCATTTGCAAAATCTCTTCCTTTGTCTCACCTTTGACAGAAGTAGGGCACTGGGCTTTCTTTCTCATATATGCATTTGGTAAAATATTCATATTCCTGCATCCGTGGTGACTGTGGGAAGGAACCACCACCTGGAATTATTCTTTGCCCGTGTCCCTGTTTTTCATGGGTTTCTTTTGTCCTGGGCAAGTGCTGGAGATCCTGAACGTACTTGCAGCCGTGAGTCAGTGACAACCTCATGCTATTATTGTAAATAGCAACACGAACACTCTTCTCACATGTGTTTTTTTTCCACAGGCTTTGTCTTTCTCTCCCAACGCTCCAGCCAAGGAATTTACAGAGCTTCTGAGTCAGCAATCAGCTGCCTCGAGACAAAACATGCAGGATACTGCAGGCTTGCAGGATAGCCAGCAAGGCACACAAATACCCTGGAAACCTGGCAAATACTTCTTGCCTGCCCTTGCTTTGCCTCCTGTAATTTCCATGCTCTCTGACGTGTTGCTTGCGGGCTCCTAGGGCTTTGGGTGTTTACATCAAGAATGGAGAGTTCTGGGGAGTGACTAATGGTGGTGACTGGAGCCCCTGGATTTGACCTGTGGGCATAACTGTCTTAGCCTGCGTGAAACGGGCTGTCGGCGGAACTGCTGCGTTAATGTGCTGCTCGGGTTGCTCTGCGTGAAATTAGTGCTTTCGCACGTCTGCCTCCTGGCTTGGCAAACCTTGGACACAAAGCAGTGAGTTCCTAGAATGAAAGTAGGTTGGATTTTATCTTTAGGATCTCTCTGAGCAGTGCAGAACCAGTGCTGCTTCACTCCTTTGGTGAAAGAGTACGATAGGAGCAAAAGTAAGAAATGAACCCTGTGTTGTCCTTACACCTGGGTGTATCAGTAATGGACTGTGGACTAATGGACTTAAATTGACGTTCCGCTGAATTTAGGTCATGTAACTCTGATTGCTTTTTCTTAGGAAGTGCCAGTCACCTGACGTGGTGGTGTAAAGTGAGCGTTTGGTAGAGTGGGGAAAGAGCACAGAAAATATTATTCACCTTTCAGTGCTGTGCTGATTAATGAGATACGTGACTTCAGCCTGCAGGTATTTTACTGTATCTGTATTACACAGCTGCACTGAAATTGCTCCTTCAGCGTAAGAGGTGATTTGTTGAAGCTCTTTATGACTTTCTTCTTGAGAACAGGAGAGGAGACAAGCTTGAAGCACAGTGTCTTAGACCTCTGCAGTCATGCAGTGATTACCCCGAGGTGCAAGCCTGGAGCATGTTTCCAGCTTCACAACAGTGAAGTTAAGATGGAAAATAAGGAAGCCAGTTAGTTCCATCCTGCTTAGTGAGTAATGCTGATATGGACATGGCATCGCTATCAGCCACTTAGGAAAACAGTTTCGTTTGTACGGTGTCCTCTAAGGCAGTTGTCCTGATAAAATCAGAATCACATTCTCCAGGATAATCTGTTGCTGTGCAGTGGCTTCCGTAGGAATTTTTATTTTTAATAAGCAGTTTGTGGCTGTATGTAAAGGTTTCCAGGTCTCCTTTGCTGTTTCTAAATGTAAACAATAAATACCACGTTAGGGTGAAATGCAGGAGTGCCCAAATAAGCTGCTGCAGAGCTGCCCTACAAGAGGGGAAGAGACATGAGCTGTAATGTTTGCCTTGGCTTCCTGTCTGCTGGAAGCAGGAAAAGAGCTGGTGAGAATCTGAAAGGTTTTATCCGAGTCCACATATTTCCTTTTTTTACCTTAATAGCCTTTGTGAAAAACACAGGACAAAAAGCACCTCAGAAATGTTTTCACTTCCATCGTTCCCGCCTGTGTTCCCATGCTGCCCTCCTGTCTGAAAACCAACAGAATGATTCTTTCTTTGAGAGCCGAGTAATCTGTTATGCCTTAATCTGTTATTCCTAAGTACTTAGTATTATGTATAAAAAGAAAACGTTTATTATATATAAAAGAAAGTAAACGAGAGGGAGAGAAAATAGCTATTCTTTAAACAAAATCTGCTAGTTGTGATCCAAAGAATTCATTCTGTAGATCTGCGGGCTACTTCTGAGGGATTCTGGAAAAGCAACTAAAGAGCAGCAGACCTCCTATTAGCATATTGAATCTGTTGAGGACCCCACCTACCACCTACAAATTTTTAGGGACCTCCATATCAAAAGAGGTTGAAAACCATAGAAGAGAGGAACCCAGTATGAGAATCCCATAAGGATAATGCATCAGCCACCTTTCACTCTCACACTGCTTACTTACTGAGGCAGGAATACATGCATAGACTCTAGGAAAGGAAAAGATTTATATTAGTTGATGCAACACAGAGAGGCATTTTTTTCAGTCTTGACATCTTTTTTTAAGCATTTGATTACTATTAGCAGTTTCAGCTTCTTTCTAGGATAGCAGGAGCCATCGTTGGGTTTGTCATGTCACTGTGCAGAGGTGGTGTTTGCAAGGACTGATGGAGATGTCAGCTCAGGCTATGCCCTCTTCTTTCCATTCCCTATTTATCAGGAGCGAAGACACATGTCCTTCTTGAATGAAACTTATTTTACTGGTCAAATACCAACCCGTAAAGTCCTTTGTGGTGATAGTGGTTTTAAGACTAGCACGTAACCATTGCTGTGGTGTTAAGGCAGTGATGTGGTTATCCCAGTGACTGCTACATTGGTAAGTCTATCTTTTGTTTTAAAACCTCTGCCTGCTTCCAGACATCACATAACACCTGCCAATATACTTGTAACTTCTCTGCTGCTCATGGGAAATGAGTTCTGATAAAACTTTCTAGGGATTGGCTCAGGTAAAGTATTTTGTGATTTAACAGAGGTGGGATGTCCCACTCTCTGCGGTGAGCTTCGGAAGCCTCTGCGTCAAGTCAGCTTGGTCAGGATTGCTCGGGGTATCCATCAGTTGACTCGTTTAGGATTGATGCTTTATTAGTTACTGAGAAGCTGGGCTCTCAGTTCAGCAGGCTCAGAAGAAATTTTGGGAAAGAAAAAAAAAAGCAAGCTCAGTTACATTTTCTTGTTTTTATTTTATAGGTTAATAATGCTTGTAAGCCAGAGGTGAAAGTGGCTCAGCAGAGCAACATCGGGAAATCTGGCAGACTGGAAGAGAACAGCTGCCCCCCAGGGCAGCTGCCAAGTGTGAAGCATGGAGGAAAGTAAGAACGAGAAGGTGAACCAGGCTCATGTTCTCTTCGACAGATTTGTCCAGGCTTCGACCTGCAAGGGGACTCTCAAGGCTTTCCAAGAGCTCTGTGACTACCTGGAACTAAAGCCCAAGGACTATCGTTCTTTCTATCACAAACTCAAGTCCAAGCTCAATTACTGGAAAGCTAAAGCCTTGTGGGCCAAATTGGATAAAAGAGGCAGCCATAAGGACTATAAGAAGGGGAAAGCATGCGCCAACACGAAGGTAAGGAAAATGATCCTCTCTTAAGGGGTTTATTTATGGGATTCAAGACAAGTATTCATAGAATCATAGAATGGTTCGAGTTGGAAGGAACCTCAAAGATCATCCAGTTCCAACCCCCCAACACCCTCCACTACACCAGGTTGCCCAAAGCCTCATCCAACCTGGCCTTGAACACTTCCAGGGATGGGGCATGTACAACTCCTCTGGGCAACCTGTTCCAGTGCCTCACCACCCTCTGAGTGAAAAATTTCTTCCTTATATTGTCTCTGGAATACGCAATAAACATGCCTGGATATAGAGGGGTGTTTGTCTGATTGTCAGTATAAGTTCAGGAATGTTCTTTTGCATATTATTTATAATATAGTCACAATTTGTTAGTGTTTGACTCTCAATGAAAAATTGTTTCCTGCTAGCCAATTTGACTGCCCACCTGAATAGAGGAAGCTAAATGGAAATACTTGGGAATGACCAGAATATTTACAATTCCTTCAGGAGAAGCAGCCTGCAAATTCCTATGGTTTATGTTTTTGTGGAATCAATATTGTAGGTGGGATTGAGTTAGAAAATCTGCATTGGTAGACTTTTAATCTTGGTAGACTTTCATTACATTTTTTTACTAGAAAATAACAGAGACATGAAATGTTCTGTTGGAGTCTAGATACAAAATATCTCTGTTTGGAAATTTCCAATTTGAATTTGAAAATTCTCATTACTTCCTCAAGAAAAGAACTTTCCTGCCAATTTGGTAAAAATGTTCAGTTACCATTGTTTAGAATGTAATCCCTTGTATTTCAGGTTCAGAGGTAAAAAAAAAACAAAACAACAAAATGCTGTGGAAACTCATATGAATTCCTTTTAAAAAGATCGGTATGTGTGGTATTTACTGCAGGAATTCCTGCTTTTACACACACCTCCCAAGTTTTTTTTACCTGAATTATTGTGAGCTGGTATTTCTGTGCTGCACCCTTATTGCACTGTATAGTATGAGCTTTTTTCTTTGTTTTTTTGTTACTGAAAGCAGTTCTTTATATCATTCATCAAAATTTGATTAGAATAGGTTATTTTTGCAAATAATCATATACTCTTCCTTTTTTTAAAAAAAAAGGAAGGTAGCGCAGAATATGATAAAATTAGAACAGGATTCTGTCCTCCTTCATTGAGGACAAGAAATTCTTGTCTTTCTCTTGAATATTCACCTTTTGGGAGAAGGAAATATCTTAATAGGAGGAATTTATGACTAATTCCTCAGTAGAGAACCGAGGGGGAAATATGTCCTGTTCAGGACATGTCCTGTTCAGGACATTTGTAGACTGAAGTTAAATTCCCAACTAGATATTAGAAAGTCATGTTACTTTCTTGATTGTTCGTTTTATTTCACTTTCCAATGGCCATTTTCATATGGATGGTGGAATTTATAATTAATTTCTACAATAACACAGGGAAAAATGACTGATGGACCAAGGTCTGCTTGCCCTAGGGCTTGTAAAAATAACACTTTCCTCATAAAGTTTGCAATGGGTACATCAGATTATAGGTAGCAGGTACATATAGATTAACTTGGAAAACAATAACGCAATTGGGCAGTGCTGGTCATCATGGTGAGCAGTAGCTTCAACACCCCAAAAGTTCAACCACTGTTAAGGTTTATGTTTTTCAGGCAGCATAAGGAAAGAAGGACTTACAGAAAGATAAATGTAGTGATTTTTGTGTGTATTTAAAAATAAACCTTCCAATCCCTACGGACATCATGGGGAAATCTTCAAAATTGTTTTTCTGAAAATTCTACTGCACCTGGCATTCACTGGATTCAGGAATTGCTCTTACTTTGAATGAAACGTGATGGATAGAAGTGAAATAGGGGGGTTAAAGGCTGCGAAATGAAAACGGGTGACTTATGTTTCGATGAGAAATAGAACGAGGAAGCTGTGGAAGGATGCATAGGTATTTTGACTGACTTGAATAGATTAAAAAAGTGATATTGCATCTGGGCTCTGAATGTCTTAGTTGGCAAGACTGCATTGGTTAACACTGAAGAAAAGGTTGCTTTGCTAGTAGGGATGCAACAGGAAAGAGGAGATTTACTGGAAGAATAAGTGTAGGACTTGGATATTGCTTGGTTATGAGGATGTACAAAAAAAATAGATCTGAGTGGAGATAAACATCTGGCTATGAAAGACATTGAGAAAATTGATTGTGATGCTAATCTAGAAGGGAAATTCATGTTGGGCTGGAAACTGATGACTATAGACAGCCATGAAGAGATGTCAGAAAGGTAGAAGAGATTTTAGCTTGGACAAAACGTAGTCAACTCTGAGTTGGAAAAAGATCTGTGAATCTACAGGAGTGACAAGCTGATTGAACCAGTGCTTGTGAATGAGGGGATGGAAAGGCAAATTGTAGAGGAAGAAGAGAAAGAGCCAACAGGCAAAGTCCTGTGGAAGCACTGTGGGAAGGTGGCAGTGAGAGGAGTGGGAGAAACGAGCGAAGTCCTTCTGTCCTTCACATGGTGCTCTGAAAGAATAACTGGAGACATAGAGGAGTACCAAGTCTTAAAAGAAATCAGAAAAGGACACGCTGAAGAAATAGATGTAGCCAACTTCAAGTGCAGTTGAAAAACAGGTAAAAGGAGTAAAGCATACTGGGAGTGATGCTTGAGTAAGAAGAGCTTGCTGGAGCTTTTGTACAGTCCGAAAGCTTAGTGGATTTGGTGCACCGAAGACAAGCTGACGAGAGCGTGGGAGGGAAATGGAGAAAGGGGATCAAGAGAGTGATTGTCCAAGTGGCACGTGGTGATCGTGGAGGTGTGGTGTGGCAAGATAATTGGAGAGAGTCACGAGGTTGTGCGTGACTCTTCCTCGTTCTTCAATGAGAGAGAAACCTCAGAACGTGCTGGTGGTGGTGTGAAGGACCAGAGGGGTGGGAGGGAGGGGAATGGTTGGGGTGGATGAGTCAGTGATCACACGGAATTGGTCTCTACTAGAGGAAGGGGAGATCCTACTGCATAGCTGCTCTCCTGTGTGTGTGTGGCGAGAAGAGGACGGAGAGTGGAGGCAAGCCGGAGAGTAATTTACCAGTGTGTGAGATGCTATGTGGCAACACAAGTAATAAAGGGTGGATGGTGAATGAGTTGAAGGTGCCACTCACTCCCACCTCAGCCCAGAAGCATGTAAAACTGTGGGTTTGTGATTCAAATCATTTTGAGTAGTGACATTAGTAACTGAGAGGAAGCGAAATTTAGTTTAAAAAATTAATTTTTTTCTTAGTATGTCTTAAAGAACTTATGATCCTAAATGATTTTTCTATGCCTTTACATTGTTTACAAAATTGTTTTTAATATGATATATGTATGTATTTATATATTTTTCACATGTTTTTCTGTTCATTAGTTGTTTCCTACCCTAATAGCATCTGCCATTAAATGTTTATATATAATTCCTAGTAGTTATGATTATCTTTTCAATGTAGAGGCCTTTTGAGAACTGAATTATATCTGATTTGATGTCTCTTATCTCAGTTTTATGTTCCTAATGTCTTATGTAACTTGCAAATCACTGATTTAAAAACACAGAAATTTAAGCGGGCATGTGGAGATGATAGAATTTAAAATAAAGGTTAGGGTTTTACCCATGTTACTTTTAAAGAAGTCAGCCTTTTCTTTGGTAAACTCAGCATCTGTGTACTTGAACATAAACTAATTTTGAAGTTCTTATCCTCTGTAGCTGAACTCGCCCATTTAAAAATTGGGCAGGGATTTTTGAAGTTCTTATCCTCTGTAGCTGAACTCTTACTTGCCCATTTCAAAATTGGGCAGGGACGAAGAGCCGTAACGAGTTGGGCTGTTGATGCATCATATAGCCAGCGTTGACCAGAATTCCTATAATTGGGATTTGTGAAAACAAGGCTTGGATGTGATGGGTTGTTCCAATGTAAAGTGTTACAAATAGAGGGCTCTTTTTCCTTGGTTGTACAAAGAGTACAGGACTCCAGTTTGCCTTTAATGTTCCATTACCGTGGTGGTGTTATTGAAAACTTACCGTAATCTCTCGGGAAGATCTTGAGCAAGAAGTGTTTCTGAGGGATGAGGCAGCTTTAGTGCATGGAGTTGGAGCAGTTGCTTGGAGTAACTGAGGGGAACGAGTCCCTTTTAGCAGATAACAAGTTGGACGCCAGTTCAATATGCAATTTGGAATTTATTTTTGAATTTAACAGCTAATGGCTCAATGGTTGGGCTTGCCTTTTCTCCCTTTTCTTCTTTCTTCAGGTTCCTGAAGCTACTAAAGAAGCAACACTGTTATCCTTCCTTTCCCTTTCGTCTAGACTGGCATCTCTGACCTTAGATTTATGTGACTTCCCTTATACAGCAGCACTTTTTGAATTTGCATGTCAGTTGTTATGTCTTCACCGCTGTAACTTGTACTGGTTTGTTCATCATTCAGGCGTTATATTTGCAGTTTCACGTTATTTGCGGTATTTATGCCCCAGTGAAGAGTTGGTGAAAGTTTGGCAACCTGTAAAAATTGGCATATAGGGATGACAAACGACCAAAGAGCTTTGCTTTGGGATAGGCTGTTTATCAGAAGGTTGGGTTCTGATTAAGTTTTAGCATACTTAGGAATTTCTCCAAGCTTTGTTCTCCAGCCGTAAGGATATATAAGGATCTGGAAAATAATCACGGGGCAGCAGCAATCACCTCTGTAGCGAGGTCTTTATTATGTGTGTCTGGTTTATACTCAGTAAAAATCAAAGTACAAAAATGATACGACAAAGTGGACTGTGTCCTACATTCCTATGACAGCACATAGCCATGCCAGCTTTCTTTGTGGACCTCAGCTTCTGTGGGTAAGAGGTGCCAACTATCTTGGGTTTGTAATCTTTCAAGAAATGATCTTGCCCTATCACTCCTTTCTCAAAGTACTTCCAACACTAGATATGCAGTATTTTACATTCTCGAGTTGTTTATGAGCCTCTGATAGTGTTCGTGAGTAGAGTGGAAAAGATGAAAGACCTTTGATATGACAAAGGTTAGGTTGGAGAAAATGTGTTTGATAAAAGTTGTGTCTCACACAAAGTTTGTATTTACATTATGTTTACTTTCCCGAAGTTTCCTTTGCTGCAATAGGAGAAGCTCCAACATAGGCATAAGTTAGAGTGCTCTGACTTTTCTACTGAGCTACACAGTAGTCTGTGCTGCTCTGAATGATGATGTTTCTAAAAAAGTTAGCATCTTGTGTATTTATCTGCCATAGGCATTGCTATGCTACTCACTCATGAGGAGGAATTTTTAGTGTTACTGAAGATTTTCTCAAGAAAAGCCAGCTCAGACTTTGGAATAGGAGAGGAAAACCTGTCATGACCTTTTTTCTTTAAAAAAAAAAATCAATGGGTGGAGTAGGGGAGGAAGAAGCCTTCAGAAATATTGCTGGTTTCCAGGTGTTTACATAGCTTGGAGAATACACCTTGGCAGACCTTCTTAAAACAAGGGTTGCAAACGGGCAGTTTACTAACTTCCTCCAAACTTTTCATGGCTCTGAAATGCTTTTGTTGTGGTTTTAACCCAACTGGCAACCAACAACTCACCCTCTTCCACCCCTGGGGAATGGGGAGGAGAATCAGAGGAGTAAAGGCAAGGAGGCTTGTGGGTTGAGAGAGGAACAATTTAATAATTGAAATAAAATACATGATGCTGTTTAATAGACTATAAAACGGGTGATGCACGGTGCAGTTGCTCGTCACTGGCTGACCAATGCTTAGCCCATCTCCAGCCGGCGATCCCGGAGGATACAAATCCCGAAACGGCTATCCCATATAAGAGATACAACTTCCCAGCCAACCCTCATTTATATATCGAGCAGGACGCCTCATGGTGTGGAATATATCATGGGCCAATGTGGGTCGGTTGCCCTGGCTACGTTCCCAGCTTCTTGTGCATGCTAGCAAAACGTGAGGAGTTGAAAAGTCCTCGATTTGTCAGCAACAACTGAAACCATCAGTATATTGCCAACACTGTTCTCCTACCAAATCCCAGTCTGAATCCAAAACACAGTGCTATTTTAACTACTAAGCAGGAAACTAACTCTATCCCAGCCAAAACCAGGACACCTTTATTTTCAGGTTGTGGTTACTGCTTTAATGTGCCAGTGGCAGAGCATGGCAGTTAACAATAGAAAGACTCATCCAAAATTTCAACTTAGGTTGCAGACAGAGAGCACTTACTCCTAAGAGTAAGTGAATGCTTGAAAGCTGCAGTGAAAATGTTTCCTCCTAGGAGTATAAATTTACTCTGTGCCGGTTGTTTTGCAGTGTCTGATAATTGGGGCTGGACCCTGTGGCCTTCGTACAGCCATCGACCTGTCGTTCCTGGGAGCCAAGGTGGTGGTCATCGAAAAGAGGGATGCCTTTTCCCGCAACAACGTGCTGCATTTGTGGCCGTTCACCATACACGACTTGAGGGGTCTCGGCGCCAAAAAATTTTACGGCAAATTCTGCGCAGGATCCATAGACCATATCAGTAAGCACAGCCGCTGCTGGGCACGGCAGCTCTTGTTCTTTACTGGGAAAAGATGGGTGAGGGCCTGGGGTAACTCATTAAAATTCAGCCTACACCAGTCACTGCTCTGGAGTCCTTGTGGTACCATTCAGTCTTACCTTTGTGTGGCGCCTTGAGAGTATCACACATGCAATATATCTCATCTGCTACGCCTATTAATTTCTGAGGCATACCTTTTTCCTACACTAAAAAGTACATTTAAGGCTCAAACCTTTTTTTTTTAAAATGGATAATTTTCCTGGTTTTACTGTAACGTTCCTGCAGCTGCCACATTATTCTGTTTCTCTCGAGCATTGAGAGCGACTTGTAAAAAAGAAAAATTACTGAATGCTTTTGAATATTCTTGTGAATGTTGATCTGGAAAGAGGAGGAACAATTTTGACTTGAATTTTTGGAAGAGTGATGAAGATACTTTGAAGAACACTGTCAGCCTATGAATAAGTGTTGATTAGATAGAGGTTTACAAATTAAAATTCAGAATAATTTTGATGATTCTCAAATTCTGAGAAATCAGTCTCCTTTCAAAGCTGAATGCTGTGATGGCGCAGTATTTATTATTTTTCAGATTTTCTTTTTTTCCAAAAATTTACTGGCCATAGCATAGCCAGGTTGTGTGTTTTTTTATTTTGGCAGTGAATAGTAAAACTGGAAAATCTTTGGAACTTCAGTCTTTCAGATTCCTTTTTTCCTTTCCAGTTTCTCATCGTTGTTATTCTTCCAGTACTTTATGCACATTATCTTCTTTTGTATCTCAGCACAGCCAAAATTTAGTGTTTAGCTGGAGCATTTTTTCATTTTGGAATCAGAAATGTGAGAGAGTCTTCCTTCAAATTAGTAGAATTTAGACACTGTCACTTTCATACTCGCTACCTACATTAGCTGAAGAGGAAGGAGGTGGTGAAGAACTTACTACATACCCTCACCAACGCGGAGGTGCTAGGACAAAGGTGCAGTTCAGTGTTACAACTACTGGGCTGATGAAATGGCTAGTTGCCATCTGTGATGAAAGTGCAGTGCTGCTTGTGCTCTCCTCCCTCCTTCTCCTGCGGTTCATGTTCTGGTTGTTTTCCTCGCTGCTGCTTTGGGGAGTGAAACATTAAAGTTTAGGTTTTATTCTTTGAAAAGGGCTGGAGTTTCAGCTATATAGAAGTTTCTTGGCATGCCGTGATATTCCACACCAGTGCTGCCTGGATGAAGTGCTGAGAACACGGTAGGAAAAAGAAAGTAGGAGCTGACCTTTAAATGAGTTTATCGGTAACGCCAGAGATGTGTGCACTTGTGTTGTCTTTTTTGTTTTCTTTTATTTCTTGATTATCTGCTTTTTTACAGGTATCCGCCAGCTCCAGCTTATCCTTTTGAAGGTTGCCTTGATCTTGGGAATAGAAATCCATGTCAATGTGGAATTCCAGGGGCTTGTTTACCCTCCGGAGGATCAGGAGAATGAAAGCAAGTAGCATTGAAATGGGTAGTAGAAAAAGGGAAAGTTATGGTAGGATACACAGACTCTTGCTCCTTAACCCTGCTCATAACTCGAAGTCCTTTCCTCGTGCTTCATCAATGACAGTAATTATTAGTACGCTTTTTCTTGAATTTTTAGTAGGATTTATTCTTTATAGTGACAAATTCAAATTAGTTAATATAGAAAACAAAATTGCCTGAAGTACCATACAGAAATAGACCAAGACACAGTAAATAGTAATTGCTGCTGAAATATTTAAGCCTATTACTCTAATAAGATATAAAACCAACTCTTTTCTGGGCATTCGCTGAGGATCTTTATGTTGGTGAAAGATCCTTGTTATGCTCTTCGTGAAACCTGTTCTCTGATCGCCATGGGAGATGGTGGCTTACTCGGTTTTTGGCATCCTGGTAGCTGAATAGGTGGTAGAGGAGCTACAAAGGTTGCAGTGATCCTTAAAGGTGATGGTCAGGAGGGTTTTTCTGGAGCTCTCTCCGATTCCCACAGAGTGGCTGTGCAAGTCAGCAATAACTGTGTCAACAATACAGCTGTCCTGCAGTGTTTCTTTACTGACCAAGTGAGGAAGGGATTATGGACAGTAAGATGTGGTTTTATATATTTGCTCTGTTATGAGTTTATATTGTCATTAACTTGGAGTTTATCAACAGGAATAGGTTGGCGTGCATTGGTCCACCCAAAAACCCATCCGGTATCCGAGTATGAGTTTGAAGTAATCATTGGAGGGGATGGCCGGAGGAACACCTTAGAAGGTAATGGTCTGTCCATAATTTACTTTCAAATAGAGTTTATTCTTAAATCAATTAGAACAAAAATGTCCTTTAACATCCCTATTAAATCTGGAAAGACACTTGGTTAGTGGAAGGGAGATTAAAAGTCCATGTAAAAATCCGTTTGTATCAAAGACACGTGGGTTGTCGTTTTCCTCTCCACTAGCAATGAAATTAGATGTTTTGACCTGGATAATTTTTCCAGCGTTTTTTCTTTAGTTGAGTACTGTTGTAGCTCTTTGTCATGGTTTAACCCCAGCTGGCAACTGCGCCCCACGCAGCCCCTCACTCACTCCCCCCTGTTGGGACGAGGGGGAGGATCAGAAGGGTAAAAGTGAGAAAACTCGTGGGTTGAGGTAAAGACAGTTTAACAGGTAAAGCAAAAGCCAGACACACAAAGCAAACCAAGGAATTCATTCACTGCTTCCCATTGGCGGGCAGGTGTTCAGCCATCTCCAGGGAAGCAGAGCTCCATCACACGTAACGGCTACTTGGGGAGACAAATGCCATTGCTCTAGATGTCCCTCTTTCTTTCTTCTTCCCCCAGCTTTATATGCTGAGCATGATGTCATATGGTGTGGAATATTCCTGTGGTCAGCTGGGATCAGCTGTCCCAGCTGTGTCTCCTCCCAGCTTCTTGTGCACCCCCAGCCTGCTCACTGGTGGGGTGGGGTGAGGAGCAGAAAAGGCTCTGACTCTGTGTAAGTGCTGCTCAGCAGTAACTAAAACATCTCTGTCCTGTCAAAACTCTTCTCAGCACAAATCCAAAACACAGCCCCTTACCAGCTACTGTGAAGAAAATTGACTCTATCCCAACCAAAACCAGCATGTTCTTACTTTTGGGAGTAGGAACTGAAGTGTTGATTATTATTCTGTATAGTAGAGAATTCTGTCTTAATATTTTTGATCCAAGTTGCAGTTTTTGGAAGAGGTAGGAAAGAGAAGGGGAGCTTTTTCCCTAAACAAGAGCTTTTGTTTTTCTGATGAAGCAATTGTTGCTTTCTCTGTGGAGGAGTTTGTAATTCATCAGATCCATTCTCTCTTTTTTTATTTTGTGAGGGCACCTGCCTATGGCATCCTGACCCTTCTCCAAAGGTGTGCTCTATTTTTCAGTGTTACTACTTTATCCTTCCTGTAGGGTTTCGCCGAAAAGAGTTCCGTGGTAAACTAGCAATTGCTATTACAGCAAACTTCATCAATCGCAACACCACAGCTGAAGCCAAAGTAGAAGAGATCAGTGGTGTGGCCTTCATATTCAACCAGAAGTTCTTCCAGGATCTACGAGAAGCCACAGGTTTGCTAGCCATTGCCAGATTTCCATTGAAAATTATTAGTCTTTATTATTCCGACTTTGTAACTCGGGTATCGTGTTTAATCAATAAACTAACATCTTGTGCAAGGAAGTCAGTCATTGCTGTCTCTTTTTGTAGTCTGACTTCCCCATTTTTACAGCTGTTCTATACAGCTGTACACTGCACATGTGTATCATTCAGATGTGCTTCCTTTTTGTTCATGAGTGGAGAACTTATTTCCCTGAAGGTTTTCAGGAAATCTGAGCCCTGAATAGGAAAAGTCTGAATCCTGAGTTCAGCTTCCTGTATTCCACATCTGAATGCAAACCATAGAGTAATGATAAATATGCATACTTTTTAAAGAGGTAGCTATAGGCAGGTGAAACGTGGTTTTCATGGTTTTGTTGAAGATTCATATCTTAAAGTCATCAAAAGCATGGGAGAAATCTGCTTGGCATTCTCTGTAAGGCTTTCTAACCACCTAGTTTCTATTTATTTTCTTCTGGTAGAGCTCTTGTGTTACAGGTAACACGTAACTGGTTCCTTCACTACCCTGTCTTTTGTTCTGTCACAAGGTATCGACTTGGAGAATATTGTCTACTACAAAGACGATACACACTACTTTGTCATGACTGCCAAAAAGCAGAGCTTGCTGGAAAAAGGAGTGATACGGCATGTGGGTATTAACTTTTCCCCTGTTTTCTATAAACTGTGACTTTTGGGACAATTTGCTTTCGGTATTATGCTGAAAGAAGGGGAACATGCTCCTCTTCCACCATGTAGTGCTTTTATACAGATGGACTTCAAAACACAAATATGTATGTTTAATGCCCTCCTGAACTGTTCTGAGCCATCAGAAGTGTGTTATAAGACCTATCCTCTCCAAATTTGTGTTCCTTTTTAGATTTGGGGGTTTCATTCATGTTAAGACAAAATATGCTTAAAGAACATTTGGTAGTTTAGTTGAGCTTCCCTCATTTTATGGAAATGAAAAAGCAGTGAGCGAAGAAAGTAGTGGAAATGTGCCTATATCTTATTCTGACAGAAGCTGTTTTAAGAGTGGTTTGGCCACAAATAAATAAATAAGGGTTGGGGTCTTGTGCCTTGTGTCTGAAGTGTGCAAAGAGAAATGCTCAGAAGTTTCTTAGCCCTTTCCCTGTCGGAAGTGCTAACAGGACTGGTTACTGTTTGCAATACAAGATTTACAAATTTTCTTTTAGAAGCATGAACGCAGGTAGGAATGAAAAATATTAGAGGGCAAACCTGTATCAGCGGATTTGTAGGAATTTTAATGCCAACGATTGTATATACTAGTCTTTAAATAAACTTGTGTATTTGACTATTTCACTATTATCTTTTTGGCAGGATTATGCTGACACGGAGTTACTACTCTCAAGGGAGAACGTGGACCAGGAGGCTCTGCTGAACTACGCCAGAGAAGCAGCTGACTTCTCCACTAATCAGCAGCTGCCGTCGCTGGATTTTGCCATCAATCACTACGGTCAGCCAGACGTGGCCATGTTCGACTTCACCTGCATGTACGCGTCCGAGAACGCCGCCTTGGTGCGAGAGCAGAACGGCCACCAGTTGCTCGTGGCACTGGTTGGGGACAGTCTCTTAGAGGTTTGTTTTAGACTTACGGTGTGTAAACAGTGAACTGAAGCGTGAGCACAAGCCGCTGCACCCATCGCTGAAATAGGTGCTGCCTATAAGACAGTGACTATGAGGAAAGCTACTGTTTGTAATATAATTAAGTGGGAGGTTTGAAGAAGAGTAGGAGTGTTGGGAAAACAGAGTATTTAGGATGGTGGTGATACTTCAGAAAATGTGTGCAGCGATTTTTCTGATGATATGTCTGTTCCATCTGCTTCTTATTGGGACAATTAGACTCTCGACAGAACCTACTGTAGGCCTGTTAACAATTAGCATTTTGTAGTTGGTTAAAAAGTACAGTCTTGGAAGAGGAGCTGTTAAGGCACTCCAGGCAATGAATTGTTGTTGGAAATAGAGGAACGTTGGCTTTGGGGAAACTCACGGGCAATTCACCAAACATCTGGCTTCCTCTAGCCCAGCAGGGGTGCAGCTTTAAGCTAATTACTGAGCTATAATTTCCCAGCAGATTGCCATCTGAATATATTATTGATATTTGTTTAAAATTTTCCTTAACTGATGCTTTTCCTTTCTCTGCTTTTTTTTCATTAACTCTAATATTAGCCATTTTGGCCAATGGGAACTGGAATAGCCAGGGGATTTTTGGCTGCAATGGACTCTGCTTGGATGGTACGAAGTTGGTCGCTCGGAGCTAGTCCTTTGGAAGTTCTTGCAGAGAGGTAAGAGAGAAAATGAGTACACTTACAGTTCTAATCTAATCCTCCAATGTCACATCATTCATTCCAGTTTCTTCCAGTACAAATATATAGACAGAATAGCAGATACAGATTCTCACTGTGTTTGGAGGATGCTTGAGGGTATATTTCAATTGAAGAAAAAAATTCCTATGGGGCTGATAAAATGAAATATTTTTATAGACGAGTGAGAAATGTTGCAGATATTCTTGGTCCTAGTTTTAAAAGCGGATTAGACCAAGAGTCTTTTTTTGGTGCTTACTGGTATTACATGGAGAAAGTGAGCCTGGCTTGCTGTCACCAGCCTTGCAGTAGCAAACCAGATCAAGATGTAGGTACCTTTAAAGTACCACAGCCAAAAATTCTTGCCATCTCCTATTACCTTGTAAATATCTTTTATGATTTTCTTTCAAGGAAGCCGTGACCTCCTTTTATTTCATGTTCTCCTAAATTGATTGCTTTGTTTCTTTAAGCCAAACAACATCTTGTGTTTCTTTAGAGTATCGAGTTCTTGATCATAGAATCGTTTAGGTTGGAAAAGACCTATAGGATTGTCAAGTCCAACCATAAACCTAGCACTGCCAAGTCCACCGCTAAACCATGTCCCTGGGTGCCACATCTACATGGCTTTTAAATCCCTCCAGGGATGATGACTCAACCACTTCCCTGGGCAGCCTGTTCCAATGCTTGACAACCCTTTCAGAGAATAAATTTTTCATAATATCCAATCTAAACCTCCTCTGGTGCAACTTGAGGCCATTTCCTCTTGTCCTAATGCTTGTTCCTTGGGAAGAGAGACTGATATCCACCTCACTACAACCTCCTTTCAGGTAGTGTAGAGAGCAATAAGGTCTCCCCTTAGCCGCCTTTTCTCCAGGCTAAACAACCCCAGTTCCCTCAGCTGCTCCTTGTAAGACTTGTGCTCCAGACCCTTCACCAGCTTTGTTGCCCTTCTCTGGACACGCTCCAGCACCTCAATGTCCTTCTTGTAGCGAGGGGCCCAAAGCTGAACACAGTATTCGAGGTGCAGCCTCACCAGTGCTGAGTACAGGGGGACAGTCACTTCCCCAGTCCTGCTGGCCATACTGTTTCTGATGCAAGCCAGGACGCTATGGGCCTTGTTGGCCACCTGGGCACACCGCTGGCTCATATTCAGCTGGCTGTTGACCAACACCTCCAGGTCCTTTTATGTCGGACAGCTTTCCAGCCACTCTTCCCCAAGCCTGTAGTGTTGCATGGAGTTGTGGTGACTCAAGTGCAGGACCTGACACTTGGCCTTGTTGAATCTCATCCAATTGGCCTCGGCCCATTGATCCAGCCTGTCCAGATCCGTCTGTACAGCCTTCCTACCCTCAAGCAGATCAATACTCCTGCCCGACTTGGTGTCATCTGCAAACTTAATGAGGGTGCACTCGATCCACTTGTTCAAATGATCGATAAAGATGCTAAACAGAACTCATCTTTGGTTGAATATTGTTTTGGTGACTCAAAATGATGTCTTAGAGATCAGAACTCGAGTAATTAAAAGATGAGGTAAGTAAAAGCAACAGCTAGTAGAACTTATTTTAAACTCAAGCAACTGCAGCTTCTGAGCATCAGGAACCATAGTATAATTATGAAAATTGTATAAATGGCACAATGGATATATGAAATTCCATTTGCACAAATTTAAAAAAAAATGTTGCAATTGGATCCAGACTTCCATCACCTTTCCATTAGACATTTGCGGACAGCAGCAAGATCTTCCATGAGTCTTCTCTTCTACACGCTGAACAAACCCAGTTCTCTTGAGCTCTCCTCCCAGGACAATGTGACTCTTCCTGAGTTGCTCCAGTGTCTCAGCGTCTTATTGTACTAGGGAACCCTTTCAGTTATGCTTAATGTATTGTTTTCTTATGTCCTTTTGATTTCTGGAGTTGTATTAAATTGCAGATTTTAGTTTACTGAATCTTAACTATTCAGTGTGTGAAGTCGTTGGATTTGTGATCTGAATGTTTGTCCCTCGAGGATTTACTTAGCAGTATTAGCAGTGATGCATCTCTGAAAAAAACCCAACCAAACCCAAAACCTCAAAACCAACCAGACTTAGACCAACCAAAGCCAAAACCTCAAAACAACCAGACTTAGACCAACCAACCCCTAAAACTTTTTTAAATTTTATTTTCCCAAAGGGAAAGCATTTATAGGCTGCTGCCTCAGACCACCCCTGAGAACGTGAGTAAGAACTTCAGCCATTACAGCATTGATCCCGCCACCCGGTATCCGAATATCAACGTCAACTTCCTGCGGCCGCAGCAGGTAACCAGCCAGTCGGTGCTTCCGGATGCTTGTAATCTGCCTTATCCTTCCTTAGGTGGGGCTGTGCTGGTGTCCTGGGAATGGTGAGTGACCTGATGTGGAAGCAGTGAAAAGCAGATACATCAGTCCAGCGCAGACCTCTGTACTGTCACAGATTCCGGTTTAGGATTTTTTTATTTTGATAGTTTTAACGGTGCTGTAACGACACATGAAATCTATACGTTTGTGTGCGTTTGCGCGAGTACGTGCGCGTTGTCTTTGTAATAATCTGGCACAGCAGCCTGTCACTGCAATTTGGGATCTGCTGAGCAGCAGCAGTCAGCTAGATCAGCACTGATGAGCTGATCCTTTTTGTTCTGGGGTTCGTGGGCTAGAATTTCTGCTGGAGAAATTGGGGTTAGAGATTTCTGCTATGTAAGTGACTTGTCTTTTTGTGCCTTGGGGTGGCTCCTTCTTGCCCTCTGGCTCTTCCTGTATCGATCTTGGGTGCATGGCATGTTGGTAATTTTTAATTTTTTTTTTTTGGTCGTTTTAGGTACGCCACTTGTATAATACAGGAGACTTGAAAGACATTCATCTGGAAATAGAGAACTTTGTGAACTCCAGGACACCAAAGTTGACTCGGAATGGTAGGCCTGGCTACTATTCTGTTCCTTTCGGTATTCTAGAGCCGGATCAGTGCAGTAATCAGAGCAGCAGGGCTGTAGAGTACCAGTGTCTTTTGGTTTAGAAAACGTATCCAGCAATTGTTGTGTCAGTCTGATTTTTCTAATCTTTCAAGTTTGAATTAACATGTAAATATATTTTTGCTTGCCTAATTTCCCTTGTTTTATAATGCTGTTAAATTTCGCAGCGTATTTGCTTATGCAAGCATTTCTTTTCACCTCCTTTGTTCTGTAACAATGTCCTTACTTAGAGTGCAGAAGCCTAACTTGAGTTCACTCCAACAGTAAACTCGGAATTCTTACAAACATAATGGAAGTTTTCTTCTGCAGTCTTTCATGTTCATGCTTTCCTTTACTTAATCTTATCTCTTAGCTTAACTAAACGAAGCCTCGCTTGCTTGCATTCTTCGGAAAATTAGATGCCTTCTGATAAGCATTTCAGTATATGTCTGCTTGTCCTGTACCCTGAGGGGTGTGTTGAACTTTTCCTTTTCCATTCACCTTTGGATGTCCAGAGAGTCTTGGGGGACTCTGAGAATGGTGCTTTGCTGCTGAGCTTCCCTTTCACTGCTGAGTAGCTGTGTAGCCTTTTGATTTGTTCTTTGCCCTGCAACCACGTCCCTTTAGGCTGTAATCTCATCAGATTTTACAGCAAGGCAAGGTCAGACCAGGTCAGTGCTTTTAAAGGAAAGCTTTCAAGAGAAAAGAAAAAGTTGCACAAGTAGGTTTGTAGATCTTCCATTAGAAATAGTGTATCTGGGCTTTAGAGAGCATTGTGCTACTGTAGCCTTTTGATCATATTTAACAAGCCTTTGCGGCTGTTTGATGATTCCTGGGGCTCTTTTACAAGGGCTAGCATGAAAAGCCTGGCAAGTTATGTCTTAGATAATTACTTTTTAGCAAATTAAGAATCCTTTATCGGATCTAAAATAGATACGATAGTCTTTTAAAAAAAAAAAAATTCTATCCTGTATTGCCCATTGTAGAAGGGTCTTGTTTACATGAAAGTTTTGTTTGCTGATTAGTGGGTTTTATGTTGTATTTAGAATTTATGAAAGAGATGTTGTGCATTTCTACTTAAAACCACGGTTTCTTACAGAGTCTGTAGCTCGCTCTAGTAAATTACTCAGTTGGTGCCAGAGGCAGACGGATGGATATGCTGGTGTTAATGTCACAGATCTCACGATGTCGTGGAAAAGCGGCCTAGCCTTGTGTGCCATTATCCACAGATACCGTCCAGACTTAATGTGAGTAACTGGCTGTCTTGAGTAACTGGGAGGAGCAGGACATTAGTGTTATTTGGAACTAATAGTGTGGTGACTGAGGCAATGCATTTGTGACTTATGGAGAAATGGATTGAAATGAATTCAATTAAACATAATAGAGGCTTAGGTATGGTGATTCACCAGCAGAGTGAAAGGTCGTAATAGCTTGATGAATATGAAGATAAATGTGTTGTCGTTTTCCCTTCTGGATGATTTGACAGAATTAAGCTCCAAATTGGTACTGACTGGAAAGGATTCTTGACTGACAGCTCTTTTCTCTGTGAAGTTAGTCAAGAATAGTTCATAGTTTCGGTTAAATTTCTTGTGAACACGTCTCTACACAGCCCTTAATAAATCTCTTGTTTATCAGTAACTCTTTTTCAAGACTTTTAGGCTGCTCTTTTTAGAAGTAGTGACCCACAATCTAAACAGAGACGTTGCTACTGTTAGTGCACTAACATGCCCATTGGATGAATGAGAGAGGCGTCCTCTTACTTGATGTATTGGGTAAAACAGTGTCCAGATTCTAGAAAAGGAAAACACTGGCTGGAAAAAAAAACAGGAGCAAAGACTCTGGTACTTTATTTGAAATCTGAAGTGACTTCAACTTCCCAAAGGGACATTAGAAAAAATAAATGCTAGGTCTGTATTTAGAGACATAATCCAATGTAAAGCATGCTGAAAAATTACTTGGTTATTCCCTTCCGTGTGCGCTGAGTTACTTCTCTGTTGGTGTGCTCGAGTTAACCTGAGCTACGCCATTTAGTAGCTGTATAGCTTGTGGAGAGTTCAAATGCTTTTTGAAATGGTTTATGTGATTCACTTCAAGCTCTAGTTTTTTATCTAGTTTTTATGTAGTTCTACCGGTTTTGGAAAAAGCCAGCAGAACTAAAATATGAATCACTCAAGAAAAAAGGGGACAAAAGTGAAGGCTTAATTTAGTTCCAAGTGCACAAAAGATTTTAGGTAGGGGAAAACAGTACAGTGTTCCAGCAGAGGAGTAAGTGAAGATATATTTCAGAGACTAATAAAATTTTTAAGAAGAAAAATCTGAATTTGGAGGAGGAGCAAAAAATAAAAAACTGAATACACTTGAGCCAAAGTTCACCATGATTAAGAAGCATCAACTCTGCAATACCAAAAGATTACTGGGAAATAAATTTGAGAGATTTTTTTTGGGGGGGGGAAGGAGATAGATCCCTGAGTTCTGTTCTTTGAGATTTGTTTCTACTTGATTCGGTGCATACTGTCTTTCTGCCCTTTGCAGAGACTTTGATTCTTTGGATGAGTACAACGTGGAGAAGAATAACCAGTTAGCCTTTGACATCGCTGAGAAAGAGTTTGGAATATCTCCCATTATGACTGGAAAGGAAATGGCATCTGTGGGAGAGCCAGATAAACTGTCGATGGTGATGTACCTCACACAGTTCTATGAGATGTTCAAAGACACCATCCCCTCTAGCGGTAAGGAGTTTGAGGCAGGCCTCTTGGATTTAAAGACAGGATTAAAGCTTCAGGATGAGGGTGTGTGCTTCAGTTACCTTCCTGCTGCTTCTGCGTCGGTTCATACTAGTCATGCACTAACTTCACGTTACAAAAGTTGACGACTTTTTGGTTCTGATAAAGACTGCGTTAGCCCCATCAGGAGCAAAAAATGAGTTAATACCAAATAACGTTCTCAAAATAACGTCCTCAAAAGTTCTAAAGTCACCTCAGCACTACTAGGTAACTGCTCGGCTTTCTTGCTCTTAGTAGGGGTTCACCTGATGTGAGATGATTGCTAGTAGTTGTTTAGTAGGTAATTTCAAAACACTGGCCAAGTTTTATCTGTTTACCATCTGAGTAACTTCAGGCTGCTGAGGAGTGGAAGATACTTGATTAGAACTGAAAGATGCCTAATACAAATCAATATGGCCTACCTTTAAATATTAATAATGTTGTTATAGCTGTTTCTTTATTACTGATGATCTTAATTCAACTCTATCATTCTGGTAGGGAAAAAAAAAGTGTTTAATAGCCTTTTAGAAATATAACGTGTATCAGGTATTATTTCTAAAACTGTGAAGTCTTCTTAGGAATACTGATGATCGTGATGCTCTTTAAATATGAAAGTAAATAGAGTAAACAAAGTTACTATTTATTCTGAGTGGTTGTAAACCCTGAAAGGAGAATTGATTTTGGCTAAATGAAATAGTAGAGTAGCAGAGAAAGATATT